GCAAAAAATCATAACTTGGTGTTTTATTGAGTGCTTCTTTTTTTCTTTTTTTAATGACTTATCAAGCCTCTGTGATCTATTTAAAGCCTAAACATATTTTGTATTTATAAGAATAATTACTTTTTTTTTTGTTAGTGAATTTTGTATTAACAATTTTGGGAAAATAATGATTTTTTCTAGATATAAGTCTTACTATTTAACCCATAGATGAGGGAGGAAATGAATTCATACCTTTTTCAAGGATATTTGCACATAAGCAAATGTAACAAACCTGCCTGGAATTCAAACTTGATTCTCTAATTTCTCATACCAAGCCACCATACCATTGCACCACCTGCATATACATGGCAACATGGTGCAAAATAGGAACAACTCAGTATCATATCATTAAGAAGAATATTAACTCTAGGAAATTAATAATTTTTTTTTAATTCCTTTTTGTTTTGTTTTTTTTTCACTTTTATAATCTAAGTTAAAATATCATTTTTTAGAGTTTTGGTTTATAACTAAAGTAAAAATAAGCATAAAAGCTACCCTTTAAAACAATGACATTTCTCTTTTCTTTTTTTTTTCTTTTTTTTAACCATTTCCCATGCAACTTTATCTTCCAACCTTTTCCCACCATTTAAGAGTTAAGAATAAAATTAGACCTATTTGCCCATATTTTTGAATAGAAATGTTATAAATTATTGCCATTTTTGTACTTTTAACGCCAGTAGATAGTAACTAATGGATACTGAAGTTTTTCACATATTGAAGGTTTGTGGTAACTGCATTTAGTCAGTCAATCGGCGTCATTTTACCAACAACATTTGCTCACTTCATGTCTCTATGTCATTTTGACAGAAATAAACCCTCAATCATTTTGTACGCTTGCAAATTTTAGACATTAACAGTGGAACTACAGCATAGGATCCAAGCATTACAAATGAGATGCGAAACAACCATCCACAGCATCACCTACGTAGGCTGTGTCACAAATGACTCAGTGTAAGACACCATCAAACAAGAAACATGTCTGCTGAAAGACCACCTTATAACCATAATCAAGAAAAGACATTTGCAATGGTAAAGTCATGTCAGAAGAGGTAAAAATCTTTCCACTATCATCTAACAAGTTACCACTTTAAGCAAAACATGATGATGCCCACTATTTAAGGTTTGTTTAAATCAACACCTTATGGGTCATTTAGTAATTAGTAATTTCCCTTACAAAAAAAAAAAAAAAAAAAAAAAAATGGATCATTTTTTTTAACTATGAAAATATATTGCTGGTATTTTTATGCCTTCATAGTGTTTTAATGCTAGTTGACAAGTTAGCTATTTGCCATTAGCTGGGACACTGGCAGGTGCTACCACACGGAACCTGGGAAAACCAGCAATTAAGAGGTGGTTCCATGCTCTTTAAAACCTCCTGATCAGAGGCCTTACTGCCAGAAGTAGTTTGTGGTACAAAGGATGTTGCTGTTTAAGCATTAAAAGTTTGAAAATTTAATGTGTTTTTTCTTCTTTTTTTAAATGATTTCAGTCTGCAGTTAGAGGTTTTTTTTATGTAAATTTGACTTAAAAAATTTGGTTAAAAACTGTTTAATTACAGTTCCAACTCTGGCTTGAAAGGCATTCTGAAGAAATCATTAAGTGAACAGGAAGATCATTCTCAGAGACTCAGATATTGGCAGGGAGCTGGTCAAGTGTTCAGCTGTATAGCGACCCTATGACCACACCCAATCACGAGACTGATGATGAAAGAGATTTTGTAATTAAGGTATGTACATTCTTAAGACCTAATGCTATTGCATGCTTAATAGTTTAGTATAAACGTAACTTAATTGTGACTGATTTAATTGTGTTATTGATGTTATAGATGCAGCCTAGCAGCAAACATGCAATATTCGAGGTGTGCCGGATACGATCAATTAAAAAGCAACAACAAACAATATATTGTTCTGTTTGCCACCTTATTAGAAAAATTTCTGACATTTTATATGGTCTGGCTATGTTCCAATGTTGCTGGATTGATGAAGTACCAATGCATTAGTCAGAATTTGGAATACTAGTAAATACCATGGTCTCACATGTAGATTTTAATAGAAAGGAAATTTTCTACAAATATTTAATTAAAACTTTGTGATGTTAATTATATACAAGTAATTATTTTTTTTGTAAAATTTCATAGAATTATTTGATTACTTTTAGATTTCGCATTTATTTAAGGTATTTTTTATTAAAATGCCACAAAATACAAATGTGCACCTTGTGCCATGTTATGCATTGTCTCTGACATGCACATGTAATATATTATGCATTACCTGACACGCATTCAATTATGATTATAAATCCAAATAATGTTAAAATATTACGGACTCCTGTTTGACACACGAATCCTGTAATGACACCGGAATTAAATATATATGATTATAAAGGATTAAATTGTGATTAAAGATCTTTAAAAAAATCCTCTCAAAATCACATTACATTTTTTAGCTCCATGATGACACCAAGATTAAATATATATGATTTAATTATGATTCAGTCAGTCAGTTATGTGCCATGCATGAAACACTTAAGTGATCATGTATCTTTTGATACATGACTTATGAGGCAGATTTTTTTTTCCTGTAGTACGTTACCATTTCTTTCTGCGGTAGACCAGTTGCCATCCAAGGCTTTAGAACCAGATCTGTCCTGCTATTTTACCCATAACTGGGAGAAGAAGATTCATAACTTTCCCAAGCCGTTATCCATTACTCTATCATGCCTCCATGATTACAAATTCAAATAATGTTAACAGATTAAAAACTAGTTTCTTGATGATACAAGCCATATTTAGCCACAGACAACTTTGCAAAATGTAAAAGTTAGGGCTGAGAAGAATATTCTTAGACAGAGGTAAAGTGGAGATCCCCCCTTAATTAATTCATATACTTTACATGTATATGATGAAACATAGATTATCTTATTTAACACTGCTGATAAAAATACTCAATGAGCAATTTAAAATGGGACCCACATTTCCCACTTGACCTGAGGAACTTTGCACATGTGCCTGGTGTTGACCAAAAAAATGCATAAGCTAGCATTATCTTAATGGAATATTAAGTCTTTAATAATTAATGCTAGCAAAAATGGAGTATTGCTGCCACATCTGGACTTTTTCAATCTTCTCTTTCCAGACTCAAGTTTTCAAAAACATCTACATGGCTTTGTGGGTGATGAACTATTTTCTACCTTCCAACCCCTATCCCACAGATGAAATCTTGCTAGCCTCTTGTTATTATCACTATTTCCATGGCAAATGTTCTGACAAAGTCACATTTCTTAGTTGCACCAGTTCAGACCTTCACAGCTAAGACTTGCTTCCCCAATCACTATTGTTGTAACCATTTCAAGTCTAGGGTCAAACATTATCTCATAATCAGCACTATTTACTTACTCCATATGTGCATAAGACAAATTCATTCCCTAACTCTATACCTTGAGTGGCTCTTGAGCCTTGTATTGGATGAACAATAGTGTAAAAAAACAAAATCTTTTACAGACTTCTTACTAAAGCTGGTTCTAGATGGAGATCATGTGATTGAATAAAGATCCATTTGCTCATGATTAATTTTTATAAACATACCAAACTTACACATGAGTTATAACTGAAACAGTTGAGAGTTGAATTGATTTTGGTATTTGACAACCCCAAAATAATTGCATTTTGCTGAAAACTTAAACAACACTGCTCATAAATATTATTTTTAATCTGATAAAGCATTATTGGCCATTATTATTAATCTTAACTAGCAAGCTGAAGCACTATCAACCATTATTATTAATTTTTGACCAGTATTTACTTTCATCATCATTTTTTATTAGCTGAATCATTGCCAGTCATTAGTATTAATTTTTGACTAGTATTTACTTTCATTTTTATTAGTCAACTGTTATTATTCATTTTTGACAGATATACTTTTGTATCACAACTGATACTGCCAATTTGCAACAGTGGCCAAACAAGCTAAGGTTGAAAATAAAAGATAAACTCTCAGTGATATTTGAACTTATATCCTATTTACTTAAGGGAAGCCTAGTAAAAGACCAGCTAACTTACTTTTATCCTACAAGACCAAATCCAACCTTTAACTCATCCCTTCCTTTCACAATCTCTTTTACTGTCACATTTGTTTTTTGTTTTTATACAATAGATATTAATAGCAGCAGAAATACTTTTATTAGATGAAGCATTGTTAAATATTAACTTTGATTAGTATTCATTTTCATCTTCATTGGAAATTTATACCAATAAATAAACAGTAACAGAATTAGAAATCCATGCTGAAACTAATAATAATAATAATGGTTAACTGTTCATATTGTTGGAAAATGCAACAAAATCAAATTTCTCAAAATTTGAAGTGTGATTCTCGATATTTCCATCCTGTGCCTTCAAGGCCACATTTAATTAAAATAGAGAGGAAAGATGGAGTCGCCAATAGAGGTCTGCTCTATATTCCCTCATTACTGTACAAAAATAGTTATTACCTTACCTCATATTTCAACTGTTATTTTTGTATGATGTTTAGAAACAATTATTTTAGCCTCATTAAAAAACATTCAGGTCTGCATGAACAAATACAACAAAAAAAAAATGCTAGTATAAAATGTCTAAAAAGTAGTTTAATATTTTAAAATGACCATGTAAAATTTTAATTATAATTAATAAACACTTTAATTTTATTTAAAAATATATTGATTTAAGTCTTTTTTTTTTTCATTTTAAAATAGGCTTAGAAGAAACAATTATCAGTGAAATGGTCATGTGACATAAATTTCTACAAAGTTGTTTTAGTGCATTTCTTTTTAATATTTCCTCTATTAGGGAAATCAGTAGAATTTTTGCTTCCTGCAAACTAAAAAAAGACAATGCCATTACATTTTTTTTTATAGTTTACTTACAATCTGAAATTATGTAAAGTAAAAAAAAAAAAAGAAAGAAAATTCAACAAAATACTCACCAAGTTGTAAATTCCAAGGAAGAAAGCTTCTAATCCACCACAATTCTGAAAAGAAAAAGAAAGATTTTAGTTGGCATAAAGATGATTTTGACAATGGCTTAGTGGATTAAAGCAGTGGTTTGGAAATTTGGTAACTTCGTAATTGTGAGTTCAATCCCTGGGGCAGGCAGTGTGTATTTGGACTTAGTGGAAATGGGCGAGCAAAAACTGGGCAATACTAAAAAAATAAGATTAAAACACTGGAAATCGATCCCCGTGAATTAAATAAAGAGTTTCAGTTTTAGATTCCCTGTAGGTTACATGCATTGACAGACATCTTATGAAAGCAGGAGGGTATAACAGCCAAAACATTCCGATAACAACAGAGATGAGGATAATTGTCTGAATATAAATAATGTAAATAAATGATGATTTTTTGAATATATATATATATATATATATATATATATATATATATATATGTGTGTGTATGTGTGTAAAAAATATATAGAAAATAGGAAAGAACTCGTTAAAACCAGATGGAGGCAGCATAAGTGCTCCTTCAACAATATAAATAAAAGAAATCAGACATCTCTATCTAAATATTTTTGGCATTTGAAGGAAATGAATAAAACACCAAAAGTAAAATGGAAAATTATAAACAAAACTAGAACTTGTAAAACTTGGGATGACCCATGCCTACATGAAAAACTACACATTATTAAGTTTCTAAATAATAAAAATCTATTAAACAATAAACATGAGTTAACGTTTTTTTGCCAACATCATCAAATTTTCACATTGAATAATTGGCATAAAAGACAAACAATAAAATAATTTTTAAATTCCATAGTCTAAATAAATAGTTTAAATGCCCTACAAAAAAAAAAAAAAAGTTACGAGTTTTTTATAAGTTATTCCAAAAAAAAAATTTCGCTTGAAGATGGAACAGAGCTTGGTACTTTAATTCAATTTAATTCAAATAATTATATTGAAGTTTTCGGCTCTTGTTTTGAAACATGAGAACTCTTATGTAGCATTGGAATCATATTTTTAAACAAATAATTATATAAAAAAACATTCTTTACCAAAAATTCCAATAAATAAGACTGACAATAAACCTTTCCAAAACAGAAACTATGAACTGGAATTAGAATCAGTGTAGCAATAACACCTGTCTTGAAACTATAATAAAAAGTTAGAATGTGGAATTAACAACGTCTAAAGACTTCAAATAACTAAGGATCAATTATAAATTTAGTTTAGGTGATAAGGAAATTGAACAGGATAGGTTGCACTAGTAGGTTCATTTGTTCAACAATAACGGTGCATTGAATACTGCTGCCAGTAGTCTGCAGAGGGTGCAACGGCTCCAGGCATCCATATTGGGAGAGTATCAAATCAAAAAGTGAAATAAAAATTTACTTTATATTTAATTTGAATAAAGCGTTTATTTCATCTTCCATCTGTTTTCACATATTTAAAATGCCTTCCTTTCTCTCTTTTCTCAGTACTAACCCCTATAGGTCCCCCACTACTTGAGTCTTAGGGGCATACAATCAAAGAGTTGGCCCCGAGCCAAACGAAACCTCTGCTCATTACTGACTGCTGCCATATTTAGTCCAGTGCTCCTGCTGAATATCTGGAGATTTTAAACAAAATTCAAAGAAGGGTCTGTAATGTAATCAATCCTGATCTAGCAATTTGACTTCAGTCACTTTCTCACTGACATATGTATTCCCTCTGTCTTTTCTAGTGTGATTTTCATGATAACTGTTCTGATGAGCTTTTTTCCTTCGTGCCTCAGCTGAATGAATTTAAGCATGTTAACTGGCAGCCATAAACTTAAATAACATAAGATACATAGATGATACAATATTGATAGCAGACACGGAAAAGAAATTACAAAAGCTCCTACAGAAGGTAGCGATGGAGAGCAAGAAGAAAGGACTAAGCAAAAATTACAAGAAGACAGAATGCATTGTCAACAATAAAAGGATGAGCCTGAAATGTGATTTGCAGGTCAGGGACAGTAAAAATCAAACAGGTGCGGAAATTTACATATCTGGGAAATCTTTTGACAGAGGATGGTAAGTGCAATGCTGAGATCCAAAGATGTATTGGGATGGCATTACAAAAGCTAGATAGAGTATTACGAGACAGGAGGATTTCTTTGGTAACAAAGAAAAGGGTACTGAACTGCTATGTCACATCTGTTCTTCTTTACAACAGCGAATGTTGGACGGTCTCCACAAAGATGAAGAGACTCGAGGCAACAGAGGTATGGTTCTACAGAAGGATGCTAAGGATATCATGGACTGATTGTGTGATCAATGATGAGGTTTTGGAGAGGATCTAGGCAAGGAGGAAGCTTATACTTAACATCAGAAAGAGGCAGCTAAAATTTCTGGGACATGTAATGAGAAAGGAGGGCTTGGAGAATCTGATACTCACAGGGATAATAAAGGGAAAGAGAAACAAGGGAAAGCAACATGACATACCTAGTGGGCTTAAGCAAGTGGATGACAGAACAGGGTCTGAGAGAGGTAACAAAAACACAAAACTTATTGAGAGCTACAAGGGATAGGAGGAAGTGGAGAGCCATGATCGCCTATGTCCTGAAGGGACACAGCACATAAAAGAAGAAGAATGGATTAGCAACTAGGTCTCACCATTTTACTGTTGAATTAGCTAGATGCAACCATCTCTTCTACTCACTTCTCGCCCATGGAACTCCCGATTTCATACTTCCCTGTCACCTACAATTTTCAAAAATTTAAATGCAATGTCAATCCCCATCTTTCATCCTCCTGAAACCTGTTCTTTTATTGTTCTTTCTTTGCTTGTCCTCACTAAAGCCTTTTTATTCTCTTTCACTCTCAGTAGTTCCTTGTGTCTTAGCAGCATTGTCACTTTGATTGGGATGAAATGATTAAAAACAAACTGTAAGTTTCTATAAAAACCAAAGTATTAATCCAAATAATCAAGTCATGTTCTTAATTGTTCTCATCAGATTTAGCCCCTCAGATGGATGTCATACATAGCATCCAACTCATTCAGAAATACCTAAACAATCATCTATATACAACTATTTTCTCAGGTTAAAGAAGAAAATCCTTCATCAGAGCCTATTCCTTAAATAACAAAAATTGGATCATTTGAAAACTTCCAACAGCAGCAACAATAAAAATGCATCAATACTAGAAAAGTGTGATAACTGTTAATGAACTTGAGAAGTTTAATTTTCTGGAAAACTGTTTTAGTGAAAAAATTTAATAAAATTTAAATAATGACTCTTTGGTTAATAAATATCAAATGTTTCCTGTATGGAAATGGCTATTCTCACCATTATCAATATTACAATAAGTTTTTATAATAGTCTGAAACTTTCTAAAGTTCTAATATGATGCATTAGCATTATTAATTCTTTGCCTCATTTATGCCTCATCTTATTTTTGTTGCTTAATAAAAAAACAAAAAACAAAAAAAACAACAAAAATTAAAATGAAAGATAGACTAGGTAAATGCTATAAAACAAGATTTAAAATTATTTACACTATTTATATTTGGTCTATTATCCTCATCTTTATTACCACAAAGTTTAGGCCATTCATTAGGTATACATCAACCTAAGTAATCTACAGGGAATTCTCAACCCATTATTTAATTTACGTAGGAAGACTGTTCAGAACTGTAGGTTACCTGGATTGATATACACCTGATGAAGGCCAGAGAGCACAATGGCCAAAATGTGATAACAACAACAAAGATGAGGACAATAGTCCAAATATAAATAGTGTAAATAATGATAGCTCCTAATCCCAGAAATTCAAACAGGACTTAAAATATTAAATTCAACACACTTCTTTCGCCAATGTCCAACAATACTTTTTGAAAATATACCTTTGCTTATGATATAAGAATTTCTATGAGAAGCAATCTCCCAGAATGCTTCTTTTTCAACTGCCTCTTTACTTTGGCAGTCTTCAATCAGTTCATACAGAACTCATCAAATTTTGTCTTTTTACCAATTGGACTCAAGTAGGGAATAATCCTTGATCTACCAAACTTTCTCCATATGTAATCCTGTATATGTTGCATGTGAGTCATCTTCAGTTGACTTCCTTGCAGCATCTTTCTAGTCTTCAAGATATTTAATCTCTATGTTTAAACATTCAGAACTTTGAATACTACATTCACTAGCAGATCTGCAATCAAAGACTTGATGGGTGATTTATACAGTTTCCATAACTTTTCATCGAAATTTGAAGACTGAAGAAAAATGAAAAATAACCTTGTTCTTTTTTGAGAGGATCTAAATGTTTTCCTTTTACACAAATAACTTTGAGAAAGTTAAATAGCACGTTTTTTTGATGGATTAATTTTCTACAGATTGTCAACTCTTTGCAGATTATTTCTTGCCAGAAAATACTTTTAGATTGTAAGATTTTTTTTTTTAAATAATGATTTAGTGATTCAAGTCTTACTAATTAACACATAGTTGGAGAAGAAGAGATGGATTCATATCTCTTCCAAGAGTATTTGCAATTAAATGAATATAATAAACCCAACCAGAATTGGGACTCAGCTCTCCAGTTAACACTTCATTGCCATTATCTATTACACCATCCACACATCCCAGCTTAGAACACCTAGTATTTCCATGCAGTCACCCATCTAGGTACTAACCTGGCTTAACACTGCTTAACTTCAAGAACAAATGTTTTAACATGATATGGCAAAAGATGTTAAAGAGCAGAGTAGACTGGGCTCTCCAGCTTTGGTTGGTAACTAGTCAAGGAAAAGGACAACTCTGAATTTAGAGCTAGTGTTAGAAACTCCACTCCATATAACTTGCTAGAGGATCCAGAGCAGCAAATCCTATTGTGATGTGGTAGTAGCCTCATATTCCACTGAGAGTCTGCAGGGGTTAATAACAAATTTTCTGAAAATAATTTATATGCAGTTGATACCATGTTGATGGCAAACATAGTAAAAACACTTCAGTAACTCCTCGGCAATATAGTAAAGAAAAGCACAAAGAAAGAACTAACCACTTATCAGAA